GAACTGTAAACGACAACCATATCTGCAACAAGGAGTTCAACCTGAAGTTACTTGATGCCAAGTGGTTGAGAAAAAAATTGGAGAAAATAGTAAGGGAAAATCCTAAAGTGAAGGGTGTAGATATTCGTTAAAAAGTTCAAAGAAAGTGGAACATTGGTATATCTAGGTGTATGGCTTATAGAGCCAAAGGTATTGCACCTGATCACATTGATGAGTCCTTTAAGGAATAATATAAGAGGATATATGATTATGTTCATGAGTTGCTGGGAAGGAAACCAATCATTATAGTGTTCTGGTTCATACTAGGAGTAAACCAATCATTAATGTGTTGGAGGACATCAGGGTTGACATCTTGCAAATATGGGCAAGAAACATGCCTAACATACAGTCCTTTCCAGGATCAATTTGTCCTACGATCCACACTAGATTTCGAAAGGAATCATAGTTAACCAAACACTAGATTCCTAGGTAAACCCCATTTGTTACTTCTGAATTGTGTTCAATTATTTTATTGGTTTCTAAATATTGTTTTTGTACTTTGTTCACAACTGATCAGCCAATAAATTGTTTGAAGTCAAACACGTGTCCTATAGTGGAGAGAAGTTTGTTGTCAACATAGACGAGTTGGCATGCACATGCAGGAGGTGCAGGAGGTGGAGCATCACTAGAATTCCATGTTGTCACTCCCTAGCCGCAATGAAGTTTCTAAATGTGGATGGAGAGAAGTTCATTCCATCTTGCTTTATGAAGTCCACCTATGAAGAAACATACGCATCAATTATATACCCCATCAACGACAACAACATGTGAGAGATAACACCATATATGGATGTCATGCCTCCTAGGAAAAAAATATTTCTAGGAAGACCTAAAAAGAAAGGAAGACCGGAACAATGGGAGATCAGAATGGATGATTCTCGACTCAACAAAGGTGGTTTACGCAAAAGATGTGGGCTATGTAGGGACCTTGGCCATAACAAAAGTCGTTGCCCCAAAGCAACCTAACAAGGCACCCAACAACCCACCCAAGAAGCTACCCAAAAAGGCACCCAACAGCCCACCCAAGAAGCTACCCAACAACCTACCCTAGAAGCCACCCAACAGCCCACCCAAGAACCTACTCCATCATCACAACCAGTCATCTCAACATCACAAGTTTTTGAACTATGTCATGACCATGAAGCTCAACCATAGAGACTATCTGAATTATCAAACCTTGATAGTAAGAAGTATATTCATAGGTGAATGTGTGTGCATTGTGTCAAGAACTGAACATAGCCTAATTTTAGTTCAAATTTCTTGTTGTCAAATATTCAATATTCTTCCTAATTTTATACATACACAAAAGTTAGACTAATGAACTATTGTGTCTGTCTCTCCATCTCAAATCTACATCAGGATCAACAGACTCTTCCTAAACTTGACTTCTGCCAAACTATACTACGATTTTTCACATGCATTCAACAAAGTAAAAAATACCGCTATTAAAATATTCCATTATTATTACAATACTTTTTCACATTATTCTCTCTTCTTAAAACACTCAATTTAAGTAGACAATTATCATTAACATGATTTTCGTGTTATGCATGTAAATGTTTGACTTTCAACAAAATTAATTAATTGTGAATTTACTCTTCTTAACTCCGCTATTTATTTGAAAATTATATGGCAAACATGGTGGTGATAGGCTATTTTTTCTTTATTTGGCAGAAGCATAAATATAATATCGCATGCTGAAAGCCATAATGTGCTATTAGCGTAAAGAAATTGTTTTGATTATACATTTAAAAGCAATATTCTTCACTCTTTAGTTTGTTTTCTTTCTATTCGGATACTCCAACCAATTCGATGTAATACTAAAGATACTCTAATGTTTATGTTTGTTCGGATTCGATTGGTTAAACAATTAATGCTATAATAAATGTGTCGTAAAAGTCCCAACAATCATACCTTTGACTTATATTTATAGGTTTTCCAAGGGCTTTAGATTAGGGTTGGCGTGTTAAACTTGATTACTGACTTGTTTAACTTAGCTGGATGATTAGTTGATTATGATAAGTATCGATCAATTTACTCCCAGCTCAGACGATCAGTTTGAGGGAGATTGATCGGTAACATGATGATTCACAAATTGCATAACAACATAGTTAACGTCATTTGATTTTAAGGATCATCAATAAAAATAATAAACCATTTAACTCTTGAAATATTTGAAACATTGGAGGGACCCAACACATTAGTATGAACTAGATAAAAAGGATTAGAACTTATTTTATTACAAGAAGAGGAAATGCACGTTTGAGTTTTGCAAATTCACAAACCTCACAATGAAGATGATGCATATTCAAACCCAAATATTTAAACAAAGAAGGAAACAAAAGTTTTATAACACAAAATGAGGGATGTTGATAGGATATAATACTATAGGCTATAATGGGTAATGGGTGCAGGACAAAGGAAACAATTAGGAATTAATTTGGGAAATAGGTGCAAGATAGAAGAAACAGTTAGGAATTAATTGTTATTTGGTTAGGGGGCCTTTATAAGAAGGCAAGGAGGTATTGTGTGAGGGTAGCTTTTAATATTTAGTGTATTTGATAGGAGGTTGATCCTGTGGAGGGAGAGTACTCCCTTGGGAAAAGATTGTAAACACTTCAATATTTGATTACAAAATAAATATACATTCATATTCTTTCTTTTGTGTGTGAGTAGGTACTGTGAGGAGTGAAAGATTGGTTTCTTGACTAAAGAAACCTATCAATTGGTCCGACTTGTCGGATACCCTTAGGAGAAAACTGTCAGATCAAAGGTTATGGATCAAGAAGTGATCAAGAAAGGTGGAAGCAAGGAAGGAAGAGACAATACCTTGAAGAGGAGGACCAACAAATAGAATAATGAGCAAGGTGGAACCGAAAATGAGCATGGTAGAACGGAGAAGAAATATGCAAGAAATGCGACAGGAAATCAAAGAACTCATACGAGTTCTTGGAGGAATGTCGCAGAATTAGGAAAAAGGATTAGAAGGCAGTTTGGGGTCTGTAGATGGAGATCAAGATTCAGTTAACAGAGGAAAAATAGAAAGGAGAGAGGAATCTCTTCAAGATGTCTTGAAAGGAAAGAAAGAAGGAAAGATAAGTGTGGAGGTTGGGCAAGATAGTCTACTAGACATCAAGAAAGTCAAGAAACTTTCATATAGAGGGGAAATTCAAACAATTAGGTGAAGGAAAGAGACACAAATATCAATGTAGAGGACATGGTTGACCAAGACCATGAGGAGGATGTTGTTACCATTACAGTAGGGAGTAGAGTGTTAGAAGTTGTTGTTTTGAGTGTTGATTGCTTTACAGGAATTAAAGGGCAAGATTGGAAAGAAGAAAATACATGTGAAGGGGAAGACAAAGACGAAAACTGTGAGGGAGACATTGTTGGTGTTGCTGCCCATGAAGTGGCAAAAGTTGTTGTTTTTAGGGGAGATAGTGAGGTAGGTTGTGGTGTGTATGCCAAAATAGTGAAGAAGGGTGAAGACAATGGAAAGAAAGCAGGATATGGTGGGAACATGGTGACTATTTTGGTTGGGAAATATAACGCCCATAGGAAACAATTAGCTCAACATGATGATGATGAAGAAATTGGATGGTCAAATCAACAAGTTCTTTCCTTTTTAGCTTTTAGGATGAAAAAATATGGACAAGGAGATGGCTTAGTAAGTGTTGCTTCTATAAAAATACAAAAAAATAAGTTTTGGGGTTGGAAGAAGACAAAAGATTTCTTAATCATTCATCCGAAAATTGTTAAAACCCAGGCCCATGTAAGTGGCCACCAGGTCAGAAAGCAGTATAGAACAATCATCTGGTTCATGGGAATTGTGGAAAAGAAGCAACTCTTATCATTACTGGAACAAAAGGAGTCAACAATTTTTTTCATATCAACCACCACTCAATCCTTTAGACCTGAATTAGAGGGTAGTAGCCAGTGGGTTCCCTTCCTATGATGAAGATGAGCCATGGGAACAAGCATTACTATACCAACCTTGGGGACAAGGTTGTTTTGTAGCATGGTGTAATGATAGGATATAATATGATAGGTTATAGTGGTTAATAGGTGCAGGACAGAGGAAACAATTAGGAATTAATTTGGGAAATAGGTGCAGGACAAAGGAAACAGTTAGGAATTAATTGTTAGTTGGTTGGGGGACCTTAATAAGAAGGTAGGAAGTCTTGTGTGAGGGTAGCTTTTGATATTTAGTGTATTTAAGAGGAGGTTGTTCCTGTGGAGGGAGAGTGCTTCCTTGAAAAAAGATTGTAAACACTTCATTCTTTGATTACATAAACAATATACATTCGTATATAATAATTACTATGAAAAATAACTGTACAAGAAAGACCCTTTATAAATTTTTTAATGGATATCTTGTGGACAATATAGGAACATGTAGAACATTTTCCTAAAGTATAGTTCGGTTTACTTGTATATCTCCTTTACCTTGACCTGCTACAGTTATCATGTTTCCATCAATTGGTAAAAGGTTTATTTAAGACATTAAATGCAATAGAAAAGGTAACTTATCATAATAATATGTCAATGAACATATCCATTGGTTTTTTCAGGAAAGATCTTACTTTTTTTAATCCTCACGGTGTAGTTATGGTACAAATACTTTTTGGTTTTCAGAAACAATAACAACATGAGGTAGTTCCATCTCTTTCCCACTTTGCTTTTGAGGTTTTTCATGCAACTTCTAACATTTATCTCTTGTATGACGTGGATTGTTGCAAGCACCACACTCCATCATGTTTCTTTTCAAATTTATGAGAAGAACCTCCTTTCCTCAAATATGTAGCGGTAGTTGTTCCATCAACAATCATTGTTGAACTTTTTGCAATGATTTAATGCCTTATTTTGCAGCCACGGTTTTAACCTTCATATCATAGATTTGTGCAACATCCTTCGCATTAGAATCTATTTCAATCCATTTATATATATATATATATAAATTCATGATATATGACAAGCCAATACCATCAAAAAGGGAAAAAGGGTTTAGAAAATATATAACATTCATACGCTATAAACACAGAAAATGATGTCTTCTTCATGACCTTGGAATTGCACAAAGAGGAAGACCCTTGTCAATGTGAAGCGTAAGCATAACCTTGTAAGTCACATTTTGTGTTCCATTTGCAAGTTTGAACTTGAAGAAATGAACAAGAGCCATTGCTATTATTTTCATCTGTCTGTAAGCAAAGTCCTTCCCTAAGCAGATTCTTGGTCCAGCCTGCAATGATTCAAACATCCATAATTATGTCTATAAAATCATAATATGTTATCAAAATTGTTAAGAATTTCATTGAAAAAATCAGCCTAGCATATACTTTTGGGTTATATTAAAATAAAGATAGTTTACTACATGCCTTTCACTCCAACAAAATGCGAATACATGTATGTAAGATCACCACTTTGTTTTTCACTTATTTGAGATAATGTTGTTGACATTTCTTTAAGAATATATTTGATCAATTTTCTCAATAAAGAGGTAAAAAAATGAAAACAAAATTAACCCATCCATAAATTAAGATTACCGTATATATGAACCAATACATAGAAACTAATTTATATAATCTCTTAAATGTTAAGAAGAAATTTACTTCATTTTTTTGGTAAAAATCTTTAAGATAATTGAGCATGTGTTTCGTCTGTATTAATTTATACGCATATTCATTATAGAAAATTGATATTAGAAATTAAATTTAAAACAAAAATCAAAGGATAAAAGTTTCAAAATTTAATTCTATATTAATGATAACTTTCCTTTTAAGAAACGCATGTCAATTGCTAGTGTGAATGATGACTCTTTTATGTAAAGAATGAAGAAAACATCTCAATTTATAGGAAAATATAAAGGAACAAACATTGAAAGCTATGAATTTGAATGGAGATTGAGACTCGAAAACTCCATTGTTGAGCCATCTTTCAGGACGAAATTCCTCTGCATCTTCACCCCAAATGGAGCACATCCGACCCATACCATAGGCCATATAGTAAACTCCATCACCCCTTTTCAGTTTGTGTCCATCAGGAAGAACATCATCTGTCTCTGCCACTCTCCCATCCTTCAATTTGAATCATCTCAAACACAATCATCAAAATCAACATATCTAACGTATTGAATTGAAAATACCAATAGAAGCTTTTCTTTTGTAACATAAAGTTGGAAGTAGTGAACCACAATGAATAAAAGTAACAAAATTAAAAACAGTATAAAAAAATTTATTATTCATTGTCTTAAGTTTTGGATTAAAAGTTGTATGATATTACATTTATGTAATCTCTTCTTAATAAACTCCTTAAAAAAAAGCCTAATGATATCACAGTCGTAGGTTCTGAAAATTTAAAGACTCATTGTCTTCAAGTTTTGAGTTAAAAATAGTATCAGTTTTTTTTATATGAAGTGAACTCAGATCGCATTTATGTAACATCTCTCTAATGAATCCTCCACTTGAAAAAACTCATCACATAATAATGTATATATTCTACTATGATAGGCAATAAAACATGAAACCAGTACTATAATAGAAATTTTCTAGAGATATATACTATATGTTTGTAAGAAAGTTTTATAGAAGGTACCACAGGAACTGCAGGATAAAGTCTCAAGGTTTCTGTCAACGCTGAATGAAGATAATGCATTTTATCAAGGGTGTCATCTGTTATTTTGGCCACAAATTTATCTATGCTTTCCTCATTTTCATGGCTACAAATCACATCTCTCACTTCTTGTACAATCTTTTCCTCAATAAGAGGGTTCTTGCAGAGCATGTAGAAGAACCATGAAAGAGTGTTTGCACTTGTGTCTTTACCAGCTACCATAAAGTTTAGAATGATGTCTCTCAAATACTGATCAGTCATGGTTTCTTTGTCCTTCTTGCTCTCAATCAAAAACCTTGATAGTATGTCCTCTTTAGCATTCTGAAAATCAAAGTAACCTTGGTAATAAGTGACCTTAAAATTCTGATGTACGATGATTTCTACTTTGATTGGTTGAAAATGTAAAAACAAAGACTGTACCTGTGATTGAAATTAAACTATAACATTAATATGCCAAAGAGAATCAATTTTTTGCGTATATTATTTGTTCAAATGAAACAGAAACCATTTTGAGGGAAGAACATAATAAGTGAATATTGATCTACTACTTACAGATTCTTGCTGAATTGCCAATTGTGCTTTTCTGGTATTGATTACTTCATGCACAAAACCATCTATTATTCTGATGTTTCTCTTAAGTGTAGCTTCACAACCAATGTTAAGAAACCTCTTGAGCTTCCAGAAAGGATCAACATAGCGCCAATATATCAAAGCATTTGATTCATCAAAGGCTTTCATGAATTTGCTTCCCTCTTTTCTTGATCCCTCCAAGCAATTCAATTCTGCTCCAAACCCAACTTTGAATATTGAGTCCAAAGTGCATCTCATTAGCATGTCCTAGAAAAGTAACAAACATTGCTTTCAACTGAGCGATTATATGATGTTAGTAATTAACATTAAAAAAATTGTTGAAAGTTCCACGTCCATCATAAATAAAACTAATTTATAATAAATAGATGCAATCTCCGTCTAAAATTAAGTTAGGTTTAAAGTTCACTATTTAACATAATATTAGAATCATGGGTTAAAATTTATTCTAATGAAGTTTGTTATTTTTGGGTCTACTTTTTTTACTTCTTAATAAAACCTGATTAAATAAATCTAATTCTAACATATATAATGTTAGCACATAGTTTATGTATTGTATGACCGTTTAGTTAGTCACAATTTAGATGGTCAACTATAGCTCAGGAGGTCAACTAACGAAACGGCTTAGCTAGGCCAGCTAGCCACACACCAACCCGGATAAGTTAATCCGCAATTTGGAAGAGCAAACCAACGAGTCCAGCCGAACACTCAAGAGGTTGGCTGACCATACACCAATCCGGATGGACATCTCACAACCCAATCACCATTTCGGCTGACCAGTCATGTACCAATTCGATTAACAAGACACCGAACTCGGTTGGTCAACAAATAGGTCACCCAACCATGTACCAGTTCAGATAATAGGCCATCGAGCCTGGATGATCACTAAACTGTTCAACATTCAATTGGACGATCAGTATGGACCATACTAGAATAGATAATACAAAAATTGATCAACTTAAGAGTAAAGTATAATTACTCACGATTACATCATAGTTAGATCAATGTTAATCAAAAACCCAAGATTTGAGATAAAAAATATAGGTTGCGTGCATTAATTATGAACTGACTTTGATATTGATATTGGAATACTTCCTGCATACACCATCTGACTAGTTTGAACACACAAGATACAGTTCACCAGACAACATGTACACTTAGGACAATATAGCACAGCCTGGACGGTTGACCTTGACCCACACTCGACACAGTTTGATATACAATCTTTAGTCCACTTTTCTTCATTCATATAAGACTAAGTTCTGAAATACTTGGTTAACTGAATTCATTTACTTTCAAACAAGTGTTAGTGAAAAGAAATTGTCCCAAAAAGAACCAAATTGAAGCACCTTAACAAATTCAAAACAAAAAATTTCAATTCTTCCACAATCATATACTAGATTTTAGGAAATAATAACCACTCACTTGCATATCAAAAACTTGACCCTGATGGGAAAGTTCTGAGATAATTCTGACCAACTTGGCAGCATTTCTTCTAAAAACAGAACAACTGAAATCTCTAAGAACCCTTGTGGAGAATTCATAGCTTGCAAGCTTCCTTTGCTGCCTCCACTTGTCACCATCAACTGCAAAAATCCCCTCACCAAAAAGATCAGTCACAATATCCTGGTTATACTTGCCTTTGGAGTACTTATCAAAGTTGGTTTTCAGTATGTGTTCAACATTTCTCGGGTCTGCAGTGTACACCTCGCTTTGATCAGGAGCCAGTAGACGAAAAGTTGGAATCGTCTTGGCCATTTCAGCATGGTAGTCATGGAGTGTGTTGAAGTAGAAAAGCTGGTTAAACACTGTTCCTTTCACTGGAGCATAATCAGGGTCTCCAATGGATTTTCCCAGAATCGTGGTCAACATGATGAAACAGAAGACTAGGAAGATACCCAGAAGAGAAAAAGCTATGAAACTCAATAGGGTATACAAAAGATCCATCTTTGTGTGTGCTATTTCTCTTCCGATACAAAGAGACACTTCTGTCTTAACCCTGCAGTGATGTTTTGGTTCTTCTAAAATCCTTTCTAAGAATTATTTTTTCTGTTTGTTTATTCGACATAGTTTGTTATTCAAACGTTGGTCTTGTCGTCAACGTCACAATGGGGTGGTTGAGTCATCAACCTGAACTAAGGATTAGAATTGACATTTATTAACTTAATTAAATTCTTTGAAAGCCTTAATTAAAAGCTATTCTCTTCTAATTTTTTTTTATTTATTTAGCTATTTGAAAGATTATATTTAGAAAAAAAAAAAGACATTACCATTTCTTTTAATTAGACAGCATTCAAATTAATTCATGTCTGTTTCAAAATTTCTTTCGATTTTCATCTAATAGTTTGTGACAAATCTTTGGAAAAATATTTTTAGAGTGTCAAATTTTCTTTTGATAATATCTCCATAGAATAAATAATAGAATAAAATAATATTTTTTGTCACTATCAACCAAGTAGTGATAGGTACGCGGTTTATATAATGCTATAAATAGTCGCTCTCAACAAATACTGAACGGTGCGTTTGAAGTTACGCGGCTTCGAACGAATTCAAATTTTGAAAACATTCATCGCAACAGAAAATGGGAGAAAACCCGGAACGACAATGGTGCCTCAGTGACTTCGAAATCGGAAAGCCTCTTGGAAAAGGCAAATTCGGCAGAGTCTACGTCGCCCGAGAACGCAAGGTTTCAATTTCTTCAAAAGAAATTTCAAATAGCCAAATTGTTTTAGGTTTTCGGGAACTTCGAATTTTGAAATTCGACGGAAATCGCTGAAGGGATTTGTTTAATTATTGTTATTTTTATTTGTTTGGCTTTCGCAGAGCAAATTTGTTGTTGCATTGAAGGTTATTTCGAAGGAGCAATTAGAGAAGTACAAAATCCATCATCAACTGAGGAGGGAGATGGAGATTCAGTACAGTCTGAAGCATCCGAACGTACTTCGTCTGTATGGCTGGTTTCATGACTCCGATAACGTCTTTTTAATTCTGGAATATGCTCACAATGGTGAGCTTTACAAGGAGCTTAGCAGAAAAGGGCATTTCAGCGAGCAACAAGCTGCCACGGTAGTCCTTTCTTATTGTCAATATTTCTCTCTATATTAGAAAATGATTAGAAAATGACTTCAAGTTTAACTAATTCTCATGCGACAAAACCGGTTTGGAAAGTTAGTATATAGATTGGACAATCATTACTTTTCATGAGGATAAGTTAGACTTAAACTTATTTTTTAATATATTATCAGAGTCTATCTTAATATATTATCGGAAACTGTCTTATTAAGGCTTGTTAAACATATTGTGTCAAGCATCATATGTTATTAGACTACCCACAAAAATATAGTTTCAAGCACGGGATGGCCTCGGCATAAAAGGATGTGTTGGAGATCCCAAATAACAATTTTAATTCCTTCTTCAGTTTGAGTAGCAATAGCATTGATCATAGGTAGCAAGATTCTTTTTGCCTTCTTTGTTAGTATGAGAAGTTGACATTTTAGATCATTTTCCCGTAGTTGAATTTTGGTATTCTAGGGGTCTTCCTGTTGAAACAATGGACAACGATCATTCTGTGAACATTCTGCTGCTCCATAACTGCAAAATTTTCTTTGTTCCACATTCTACTTCTCAATGGTTACTTAATTTTCTCTCACTTTTTGCTGCATCACGGTTGTAGATGTTCTGCCACATTCTCCAGTTTCTTGGTTGCTAGCACATTCTACTGCTCCATGCTTGCCAATTGTTTTGGCACATTCTGCTGCTCCGCTGTTGCAAATTGTTCCGGCACATTCTACTTCTTCCTGAGAATATTCTGCAGCATCATGATTTCCAAATATTCTAGACCATTCTGACATGAAATATTTTTGCAGTTCCATGCTATCCAAATGTTCTTGGTTCTGTTCTTCCTAGAATATTTTGCAGTTCTATCCTATCTAAATGTTCTTGTACATTATGCTTTTCCATGGTTGGAAAATTTTCTCGCACATTTTTTTTGCTTCACAGTTGTTGATTGTTCTGCCACATCCTCCCACTTCATGGTTATTGACACATTCTGCTGCTTCACCGTTGCCAATTGTTCTGCTACATTCTGCTGCTCACTGTTGTAAATTATTCTGGCACATTCTACTCCTTCAAGAGAATATTCTGCAGTGTCATGATTTCCAAATATTCTGGAGCGTTCTGACCTCCAATGATAATGTTGTGCAGTTTCATGAAAATATTATGCAGTTCCATGCCATCCAAATGTTCTTGGTCATTCTTCTCTTCCATGAGAATATTCTGCAGTTCCATGAGAATGCTCTACAGTTCCAATGATAAATGAAAATATTATGCAGTTCCATGCCATCCAAATGTTCTTGGTCATTCTGCTCTTCCATGAGAATATTCTACAGTTCCATGAGAACGCTCTACAGTTCCAATGATATCTAAATGTTCTTGGACATTATGCTCTTCCATGGTTGCAAAAACTTCTCACTCATTTTACTGCTGAACGGTCAGAAATATGGTGGAGCAAACTGCTCATGTGGTTAAGACATGTATCTTGACTTTCTGCTACTCCATGAGATGATGTTGCTGCTCCATAGTTAAGAAAGGTCATTTATCATTCTATTGATCCATCAGAAGATTTTGCTACTACAAGGCATAGTTGCCAGCGCAACAGTAACCAAATGTTCTTGAACTGTATGTTGCTCCTTGGTAAAGAAATGTTCCTGAACATTCCTAGGAGAAAAATATTTTTTCTGCTCCAAGGTAGTTAAGTATCCTTGATCATTATTGTTGCTCCATTTGAACATCTTGTCTAGTTCAATATGGAAATATCTATTGTATCATATGTTATTCTCCCTCATGCTGAGGCATGGATATTCCGTGCGGGGTCCTATAGTAATCCGATAATAGGTAACATGATAGGCCTAACAAACCTTATTAGGATGATAGACTATTATGATACTAGGAAGTAAATATTAGCCTAACTCATCTTCACACAAGATTTGTTTGTAAGATAATGATTGTCCTCACTTATATACTGGAGATTGATCTTACATCTAATGAATGTGGGATCTCCAATATGATATTTGATTTTTGAAGATTCATAGCATGTTTGATTTTCTAATTAGAGAGCTGCACATTCATGCTATTTAAAAATGGAAGTAGTTGCAGCAAAAATAGCATGTTTGACTTCATTCGGCGGGCAACCAATCATGTTTTTAGTGTATGTTTGTCTGCATGCTTACAAGATCGATATTGGATGAAATTAGTTTTTGAAGTTAAATCATCTATGTTTGTATGCTTTATTCTAAAACAATGTGTTTTAATTCTCTGTTATAGTAATTTTGGTGTACTGTAAAAGTACTCCTGTAACTTTAATCCAAACTTAAAAATTCTTCAATATTAGTTTTTCTTCTATTTATAAATTGTAAATTGACATTATCTCTCATTAATGTGGGATCTCCAATACACACCAAGCATGGATATCTTAGGAAGTGATATCATATTAGAAAGTTAATTTAAACCTAACTTATTCATACAATATCAACTTATAAGGTGAGGTTTGCTTCTACTTATATATTGTAAATTGACTTTATCTCTAGTAGATTTGGGATTTCTAACACCCTTATTCTTTATTTGTTTTAAATTTTGGTAGAATTGATTTTGAATGTTGTCGGTCCTTATTCCTTGTATGCATGCTTGAATTAAACTTAATTATAAATTTTACGTTGAAATGTGTGCTATGGTGTGTTGAGGGAGTGTTTAGTTTAAGAGATTATTTTCTGTTTTCTTTCTTGTTTTCATGTTTGTATGGAAACAGTGACATTACTTTTATTCTTCCACCTTTAGTGTTTAATATACGAAATTTTTAAAGCGTGGAATAAAGTGACATAAGCTTGGTTTCTTGCCTTGGATTTAACTAGAGTATTGACTTATGTTGTGAAGGCTGACTTGTCTAACTTGTGTAACCTTTTACCTTGCTATTCCGCCCTTCCTGACTCTAATACCGTTTAATTAAACACTTGTTTATGTTTTGATCGGCCTTCTTTTTAGGGGTAGCATAACTGTGGCTTAGTGGCTGAATGATGAACATTTTCTTTGGTTCTAGGCATTGGGCTAGATCTTTGGATTTTGACATGAGAAAGAAAAATGCAAGCAGAAAGAAGCCATAATGTATTTATGAGAAAATTAATTAAATAACTGGAGAAATGGGATGGGAACGGAACAGAACTGTTCTTTAAAATTAATTAAATACTATAAAGTTATTATGTGTTGACATCCTGTGAAATATGGTAACTATAAAGAAATTAAGTGGAATGGATCAGAAAAAAAATTCTTAAAGAGGGTTTACGTTATATTTTACGCCTGTTTATATATTGTCTTAAAGCAAGTCTTTTGCATTTTTGTATTATGTTCAATATGTCAACTTGTAACTCTATTACATTTGATAATTTTAGTATATTTTAAGCCTCACAAAGGCATTGGCGTATTGTCACGATAAGCATGTTATTCACAGGGATATCAAGCCTGAAAATTTGTTACTTGATCATGAGGTATGCTTTCTCTTCTTTTACCCTCATTTTACATTTCTTTTGCCCATGCTAGTACTTGAAGAGTTATTATATTTCAACACTAGTAATGTCTGTTTTTTTTTTCACTTGGCATCAACTTAGGGCCACAACTCAGAAATCCAGTGACTTACATAATAATAAGTATACATCATATTTGCATTTCATTTCTATCATTTCTTACCCCTCTCGGGATTTTTTTAAACAATTTAAGTTTCACCGTATTAGATGTTTTTTTTTTCTTTCTTCATTCTCTTTCCATGCTACATTTTCTCCCATTGAAAACGAGATCAAAAATAAGGAAAGCAAACTTTCAATGAGAATGTTCCTAATTGTAGATATGTGATGAAACCTTTTGGTAACTAGTTGGAACCAATTATGTTTGAGCTGTAGGGAACTTTAACAATTAATTTGATATTGGCTTGGTCTCAGGGTCGTCTTAAGATTGCAGACTTTGGTTGGTCAGTACAGTCTAGAAGCAAAAGGCATAC